AAAATTTAAATTCAAAATCCTTATTTAAAGTAAAAGAATCTCAGTCATCGATCATAATCCAAGTAGGTGAAATAGAATTTGTTATTTGTTTTGTGCGCCTAGTTTTGCATATATAGCCAAAAAGATCACAATACCACGGCTGGTACCAAGCTGATGAGTTTATCCGATTTTATTTTATTTTTAACTCGATATCTGGTATCGATTTTAAAATTTTAATAAAACTCGGAAAAAATTATGAAATTGATCCAATTTAACCCATAAAATATACTCTATAACAAGGAGCTAGTACAAATTAAACATCCCATGTGAGACAATTACTAAAGGTTGGTAATCAATCATTCTATTAATTAATTTCTTCCTCTTTTGTTGTTATATTGTTATTGTACTTGGTAGTTAGTACTGTTACTTTTTTACTTAGCTTCTTTTCAACTAACTTGTCAGCTATTCATTAATCTGGCATAAAAATTAGAAAGTATTTTCTCCGTTATAATTTATATGGCATCGTTTGAAAAATTAAAATCAAATAAAAAATTTACTAAGATATTTTCATTCCTTTTAGATATTTTAAATTGCTATTTATTATAACTTATAATACTATTTCCGCTGATTTCCATATTGACAGCTTCTATCAATAATCAAGTCACATTACAAATATCACCAAAACACAATTTTTGATCTCTGCCTGTCTCATGGACAAACCTTCAAAGTCAAAAGTTGAAACTTGTTAAATTTAATGAATCGAGCTAGGTGAAAAATCTAAAATCACCCGAACTCGATTGTGTAATGGGCCTGTCCATAATTCTCTTATAAAGCCCATATTCAACTTGCACACACTAACAAGTATCATTTTGTTTGGGCTGAGATGATTTTCGGCCCAATATCAATTTGAAAGTGTCATGAAAAATTAATTTTACGATTTTTTCTCAAATATGTATGTATAATTGTTGCATTATGAAAGTATAAGTAAATCAAAATGTTGGATTCTAGACTTATGTTAAAGAAATATTCTTGAACATTAAAAAAATTAAAATGAGTCTAACCTAAATAATTCAAATGCTCAGCAATAACTTGGGACATAAAGGACAACAAATCTATGTTAATAGACATATATTTTATAGCTTAAGACATTACTTTTATTTAGAGCAGGTTTTGTTTGATATTCTTCAAATTAAGCTTGTCGAAAATAGTCATAACTCACATAAAAAATATTTAGAATAGTTGAATAAGAAGGAAAAAAAGAAAAACATAAAAAAGACGGAAGTTTTGTCCAAGTGAGATCTTGGCACTAAAACATACTTTTTAGTGGCAACTATTATAAGCATTGGCAACGACTAATGTTGCCACTAAAACATACTTATATTGGCAACTATTATAGGCATTAGCAGCGACTAATGTTGCCACTAAAATATACTCAGAGGCATTGGCAGCGATTAATGTTGCCACTAAAACATACTTTTAGTGGCGACAATTAGAGGCATTGGCAGCGATTAATGTTGCCACTAAAACATACTTTTAGTGGCGACAATTAGAGGCATTGGCAGCGATTAATGTTGCCACTAAAACATACTTTTAGTGGCGACAATTAGAGGCATTGGCAGCGATTAATGTTGCCACTAAAACATACTTTTAGTGGCGACAATTAGAGGCATTGGCAGCGATTAATGTTGCCACTAAAACATACTTTTAGTGGTGACTATTATAATCATTAGCAGCGACTAATATTACTACTAAAAGTTACTTTTAGTGGCAACTATTATAGGCATTGCAGCGGCTAATGTTGCCACTAAAACATACTTTTAGTGGCGACAATTAGAGGCATTGGCAGCGATTAATGTTGCCACTAAAACATACTTTTTAGTGGCAACTATTATAAGCATTGGCAACGACTAATGTTGCCACTAAAACATACTTTTATTGGCAACTATTATAGGCATTGGCAGCGACTAATGTTGCCACTAAAACTTACTTTTAGTAGCAACTATTATAAGCATTAGCAGCGACTAATGTTGCTACTAAAAGATACTTTTAGTGGCAACTATTATAGGCATTGGCAGCGACTAATGTTGCCACTAAAACATACTTTTAGCGGCGACTATTAAAGGCATATTAGAGATATTAGCAGCGACTAATGTTGCCACTAAAACAAACTATTAGTGGCGACTATTATAGGTATTAGCAGCGACTAAGTTTGTCAATACACATTCTTTTAGTGGCGACTATTCTGGATATTAGCAGCGACTAATGTTGCCACTAAAACATTATTTTAGTGGCGACGTTTATAGGTATTAGCAGCGATTTATGTTGCCACTAAAACATTTTTTTATATATATACTAGTAAACTTACCATTTAATGTTACGAAATTTATAAAATAATACTTAAAACCTATTAGTCGTTTAAACTAAAACATTACAAAGGAAGTGATAATTATAATATCTTATCATTTATCATTCAATCAAATATCTTTAATTTGATTTTATAATTTATCATTTTGCTTCCGGGAAGTGTTACTATTCGATATTTTTGAGGAATCAAATGCATCAACCGGTAATATTAAATATTTGAATAAATAATCATTAGTGTAGAGATAAATAAATTGTAAAAGGTTGGAAAAAGTGAACAAATATTCTAATTCTAACGTGTAGAAAGTTCAGTATTACCTTTTGTTTTACATATATCATTTTAAAATTCTCATTTAAATGTATCATAAGTAATTATTAAAATAAAAATTAAAGGGAGAATGTATCAGACAACAATTCAACTTATTATATATACTTAAAAGGAAAAAATATTACACAAAACTATTCAGTTTGTTTCCCTCTATTTATAAACAATAAATGGTAGTGTGAACAAATATTTATTGTGCCTTATCAGAAAGGTCACAACTCTTTCGAAAAGGTCACAACCTTTCATAAAAATCACAATTTTTCATAAAAGTCACAACTCTTCATAAAAGTCACAACTCTTCAAAAAAGTCTCAACTTTTTATAAAAGTCGCAATTTTTTATAAAAGTCACAACTTTTCATGAAAGAGAAATGTTAGTTTTGGAAATAAATAAATTAAAAAAAAATCCTAAATTCTGGTGGCGCCACGTAGGCAGGACTAAGGTTCTCTTCTATATATATATATGATTTTGTCTTACATACAAAATTATGTAGTAACGAACATTAATAATATAAAGGAAAATGATAATTATAACATCTTATCTCTTATCCTTCAATCAATCAACTTTAATTTTATTTTATAATTTATCTTTTTGCCTCCAGAAAATGTTACTATTTGATATTTTTGGGAAATTAGATGAACATCAACATGAGATATTAAATTTTATAATAAATAATCTTTATTTGTACTAACAAATACTTATAATAATAACTTTACAGAAACATAAATAACAAAGTTTAAAACATGTACTCAAAAACAATAATTAATATCATAAGTATAAATTAATGATTGTAAAAAATATACTAGGATCTATAACACAATAGAATGAAACAGAAAGGAAAAAATTGAGCCCACTGAATGCACAATGTCCCCTTAAGAAAATTATTCCCCTCTAATACCCGAGTTTAAAGGAATAGATCATCTCAGGATGTAACGATTTTATTCACAAGTGTATTGATACAAAATCAATGGTGTCAATGAGCCACTCAACAGGAACAAAGTACACGAATATTTAATTGTGTAAAAAAAAAAGTTCAGAATTTTTGGTGTTTTAAAATGAGAGGAATTCCTTCTATTTATAGACGAAAATGATAGTGTGAACAAATATTTAATGTGCCTTATTGGAAATGTCACAATTTTTTGAAAAATTTATAACCCTTCAGAAATGTCACAACCTTTCATAATTTTTCATAAAAGTCACAATTTTTCATAAAAGTCGCTATTGTTCATAAAAGTCACATCTTTCAAGGATATTTTTATAAAACATACTTTACGTTTTGATAGGTATCATTTTATCACACATCACTCTAATAAAAACTTTCGAATTTCAGTTATCCAATTTTAATTGTATGAATAACATTTTTATCTATTATTCTCTTATCTTAAAAATACGAGCCTATAACTCTAAATTATCTACATCTTAGGCTCACTTCAACTTCAAAACACACACTTTAAATCATAAAATAGAAATAAATTATCATATTATATAATATACACACAAAAAACATTTCCCTCGTTTTAGCTAATGTGACTTCATTTTCTACTTCTAAAATATGTATTTCATCTCTATATTTATAAATAATTTAAATTATACTTCTCATTCCTATAAGCAAATGAATGTTTAACATAATTAATAGGAATATCCCTAAATTTCCAATTTTTTGTTTTGTTTCTTCCGAATCAAATATAGATTCTTATAATAAATACTAGTAATCGTAGTATTGATCATGTAATTTCTTATCTTTTAAATGTCTTATATTATCTATGATTTTTTTTGTTAACGCGTAATCGGTACTTATTTATTAACATGATTTCTATTTGTCACAATTTCTTTATTTTCAGTTTACGTTAAAACATATAGTATTTTTTAAATCGATGCTCTATCAAAGGTAACGTATTATATCCAAAATAAAAGTAAAATTTATGTACACTCTATCTTCCGACTCCACATTGTTTTTGCAGTTGAGTTGGTAAAAAGAAAAAAAAACAAACAAGGCATATGAGGAGTCACAAGTTATAACACACGTGAGTAGGGGTGAACATGATATGGTATATATCGAATATCATACCGTAAAGACAAACAAATTATGGTTACCAAATACCATATCGTAAATATCAAAATTAAATATACTGAACCATACCGAACTAATTTAATATAATGATATAGTACTTTAGATACCAAATACTGAAATTACAGTATGAAATTTTTTAAATACCGTATTATACCATACCATGCTCACCCTACGCGTGAGTGAACAATTGTTTTGTCGTATTAATGTAACGCCTCATTCACGCTTTACCTTCAAAAATATTTTAAATTATAACAACAAAAAAAAAAATTAAAAAAAATTAGTTAGTGTAGAGAGAGAAAAAGGTAGTAAGAAGAAATTGTTTGATGGGTAAAGTAACAAAAACAACAAGAGAAACAGTAGCCATAGCCATGGAGATGAAGGGAAAGAAGAAGAAAGGAAGACCATCTTTGGCAGATCTCAGAAAAAGGGAAATCATTAGTAATAACGAGCCTTCTGTTGGTCGTCATTCTTCTCGGCGGAGCTCTAATTTTGAGTCAGAAAAAGAAGACGAAGATGAGGATGAGAGGAAACAAAAGAAAGTCAAGCTCTTTGTTCGTTTACCGAATCAGAATCAGAACCAACATTTGGAGAATTCATCTTCTGCTGCCGAATCAGAATCTGAATTAGGCGATAATCACCAGGCGTCGGTTCAAACAATGAAAATCAGCTCCGGCGACGGTGTTTCTGAGCAGGTGATGTATCTTGAATTTCGGTGGTGATTTTCCCCCAATTTGTTTTTTGAAGGGGAATTTAATTTATTCAAAATTAAAATTAAAGCGAGCTAATTCAATGTATTTCTATTTATGGAAAAAAATAGGAAGAAGATGGTTCTTCTTTTTTATTGCTTGTGGCACGTAACCTCACGCCCCTTTTTTCAAGATCTCCCTGTTTTATTTTTACTCTGTCTACATTTTTACATAAAGACTTGATTTTTCCTTATTTTATATAAAAAATGAATTTGGGTACTTTCTTTGTGTATATATACATACTTCTTCTTCTTCTTCTTCTTCTCACTTGTTGAGAGAGTTGAAAGATTGGTCTTTTTTCAGTTAGTAGTAGTTGTACTTGATGTGTCTTTTTGTGGAGACATTTTGCTCTATTATCAACTTCAAGGAGACCCCTTTACTGTAACTTTCAGTTTTGATGTATATTTTAGGTACCCAATTAATTTGAGTTTTATAATAATTGTGCTAAGAATATGTATGTTGTGTTAAATTTACAGGAAGAAAGACCTTTGACAGTGACAGACGCTCAGCATGGTTACAATCTAACCCCTTTTAACATTCTCGAAATTGACAGAAAAAGAAAAAATAATTGTTGGAATTTCCTAGTAAAAATTCATTTTTTTATGAATTTAATTTGCTGATGTTTATTCGTGGACAGAATCCCCATTGGTGTCTGGACCCACAACACCTTTGCCAGACAAAAAAATATTGGTGTTCATTCTTGACAGACTTCAAAAGTATGTTTTTTCCTTTTCTCTATGGATAGTATTATTTATTTCATGTACTTGGGTTGTTTCTTTTGGTTTCATATTGTATACTTAAGCATTGGTTTTTTTTTACTTTAATAAAAATGCAGGAAGGACACTTATGGTGTATTCTCTGATCCCGTTGATTCGAATGAGGTACATTTCTAAAGGTGTCGAGTCGTGTTGAATTGTAACTATATCATCTGTAGTTGTTGAAATAATTTCCTTGCAGCTACCTGATTATCATGAGATTATAAAGCATCCGATGGATTTTGGAACCTTAAGAAAGAAACTTGATGGAGGGCTCTACTCAAACCTGGAAGAGTTGGAGGTCAGTTAAAGATTTGCCAAGCTGAACTTTGTAGCGCTATTGCTTGTATTTGGATTGTTATGGATTCAGTTTGGGTGACACCTTTCATTATCGATTGATTTGAAGTACTTACATTTGCAGTTTGAGTTGAGAACATCACCTTTAACTTTCCTGTTAGTATAATTTGATTCGGTTATAAATGGTTGGAGAATTTGTTAAAAAAAAAAAGAAGGTGTAGTAGCTAAAGAAAGATCAAAGAATATTGTATTACGTTTGCCAGTTTGATGTTGTGCTGTTTTAAGAAAAATATCTGAAATGTTTAAGTTTAGAGAAGAGTGAAAATAGTTGGCATATTTTACATTTGTAATAGGAGAAGATGGAGGGCTAGGTGAGTTTTCCTAAAGATACCATAGAAATACTTCTTTTTGGATTTTGATGGTCAAGTCTAGTGTTTAACAGTATTCTCTTCCACTAGGAAATTACAATATTAGCACCCTTCTTAAGATGTGCATGAACAACTGCAGGCACGACTTGTCGTCGAGACTCCTACCCCAAATTAAGGGATTCGACGACTTGTGCACTAAAGCTCACGATGTGGATTCGAACCACTGCTTCTCCTTTTTGTCGTGAGCGGGTCTGTCGTCCTCCTCATTCTGAAGCTCAATGGACTTGTTTCTTTTTCTCTCTTTGTTTAGTTTGTCTTGTTTCTTGGTGTGATCAGCCTTTTATGTAAAATCATTTGACTTAATCTTTGGGAGTCCAATTCTTATTGATCTCTTTCATTATTTGAAATTCATGTATTTTCGTCTTTAGCCTCGTGAGTTGGTTCTTGCTGAAGAAGTCAAACTGTATCTAATATTTTGCAGTCTACATTTGGCACTTGCTTGCTGGTGAATGGTATACTCTACGTTGTCAGCAAATATTCTTCTCTTTGATGGTTCCTTAAGGTGGCCAATTTGTTAATATCAGCTTGTGCTAGAATAGATAAAGAGCTACCTAGTGGAATAAAAAGCAAAGCAAAAAAAGTATTCCTAAGATGTAAAAATACACCAGCACATTCTTAATGCTACACATCAATAAAATTGTACACTTATCAAAAGTTATAATGAAGGCCAAGAGAAGATGGCATTATATACACATGTCTCGACATTGAAAGTTTTGAGGATTTGAAAAGTTATATTGTTTTACAAATAAATTCACTAGATAGAGTAAAGTTTGTTGAATTTATAACGAGATCTTTTCATATTTCTTGCTTCATATGTTCATTGTGATTTGTCTATCTCTTCTATATATTATTTGGGTGTGATATTGGTCAGTAGAAGGGGATTTTGTTCATGTTCCCACCTCTCAAAAATTATTGTTGGAGTATAAACAATTGAATATAATGTTGATATCACTGACACTATTATGATTTATGCAGGCTGATGTTTTCTTGATATGTTCAAATGCAATGCAGTATAATGCCGCAGACACAGTTTACTATCGACAGGTTTGTTTAGCATCTCTCTACTCCTTTTCTTGTCTTTCATTGTTTCCGAATATCCTTAACACTTCCTACTGTAGGCACGATCCATTCAAGATCTGGTGAGAAGAGATTTTGAAAACTTGAGGCATGAAGGAGAGGATGGTGCGCCACAACCTAAGGTAGTTCGTAGAGGCCGTCCTCCAAGCAAAAACCTCAAAAAGTCTGTTGAAAATTCACCAATAGACCGTGTTGTCCCTGAGCATTCTTCAGGTGCTACTCTTGCTAGTGGAGATGACAAAGCTATTGGATCTAATTCATATAATCTAAGAAGGGGACCTATGCTTTCTACTACTGATGCATCTTTTGCCAATCACTCGCGTAATGGTGAAAACTACTTTGATTGGTCAACTGATTGGAATAATGAGTTTCCAGGTTTGAACCTAACACCATGTTCAATTCTCTTCAACTCTTTTAAAGATAAAAACGACTAATTACCTTGTTGCTGACAGCTAATATCTTAAAGGCTGACATGAAGTATGGAAAGAAACATTTTTCTATTAATGAGAACAGGCGTGACACATACCAACAGTTCCATCCTTCAGCTTCTTATAAGGAGTCATCTGTCCTGTGGAATACTGATCGTGATATGAAGCAGTTAATGACTGTATGTACTAAAAACTTACACTACTACTTTTCTTATTTTTATGTTTTCATGACAGTCACAGACTAGGGAATACTTGGCTTTGGTCTTTCATTGAATTACACATTTCTATCTGTTATTATTAAATTGATAATTTAGAAAATTTTAAATGAGAACTAACCAATGAATTACTTTTCTTAAAATCAAGAAAAGTGTGTCCAATTTTGTCTTATACATACTGTCCCACTTTGTTTATCCAATTTTACATGGACTTTTATATAATTTACATTTCCATATTTAGTTTACCACATAGAACATGTCTGGATAAGTCAAACAACTGGAGATGACCGGTTCCCTACCAGATCTCTTATCGTTCTTTTGTTTGTCGTCATCTCCGTCCTTCTCTCACCCCCCTTAAAACTGTCTGCCAACACAAAAACTTTTTTATGTGTTTACAGAGATGTTACATTAGTTTTTGTTTTACCCAGACTAAAAATGTCATTTGACTCTATTACAGGTAGGTGTCCACGTGGAGCAGCATGCTTATGCAAGAAGCCTTGCCAGATTTGCTGCAAATCTTGGGCCTGTTGTTTGGAAAGTGGCTTCTAAAAAGTTAGAAAATATTTTGCCTCCCGGAGTAAAGTTTGGTCCTGGATGGGTGGGAGAAGATGGAGGGCCAATAGAGCCGTCCGCTTGTCCAACAGAGATCCAAAAGTTACTAGATAATTCGATAGCTGATCCCCATTCTAGTAGACCTGTAACACCAACACCTCTTGGATCAAGTTCTGCTGTAATGTGCAAGCCTTCTGCTGAAATCTTTCAAGCTTTCAAGAGATTGAATAGTCAAAACGAGCTTACCAGACAGGATTCTGGAGATGGGGGTTTTTCATGGGTGAATCCGGCATCTACCCCAGCTCCACAGAAAGCTTTCCTTCAACCAAGAAACGATTTCAATGGCATGTTTAGGCATGAGTCGTCACTCCAGGTGGAGATGTCAAGGTTTTCTGCATCTAAAGGACAGTCAGGCCTACAAGAGGCATCTAGGCCTAATCAGGAGATGCTTCGTGGAAGAGAGAATCCATTTCATCCTGCACTTTCAAACAATGTTGCTTCAGCAGAAAATAAGCTATTAGAAAGCTGGACAACATTGTATTCTGGGAATTCATTATCACAAGGTAAGAATCCTGATTTTTGTACAGAACAGAATGTGAGGCTTCTCGGTGAATCAGGGCATGCATCTTCGATTCAGCAGAGGAGTAGAGTGTCGGTTCCACCTGACCTGAATGTACAAGTCCAGACATCGGGCTCTCCTAGTGCTAGTTTATAGATTGGATCCTCGCGGCAGTCAGATTTAGCAGTACAACTCTAATTTTTTCTAAGCACTGTTGTTCTCGAACGAGATAGAACACAGGTTTCTATGATTGACAGTTACCTGAAATTCAGGGCTTCATTGTATTAGGAACTTAAGGAGAAAAGTTTGTACAAATTATGTTTTCAAATTCTTAGAGTAAAGATGGGGATTTTCTTATGTAAGATTTGAAATTTTGAACCCTTGATCCAAAATAGAACAAGTGATCATTGACTTGTTTATCCAACTGCAGAATATATATATTCTGTAATTTGTGACTACAATAATCTTCTTTCCAACAGGGCTTACATTATTAGCTTTCCATATGAAATTTGTTCCTAAAGAAAAAGATGGACCTTTTCATTTTTCTGTTCTCATTTCTTGAATCATGTTACTCAAAATAATAGTTGTCGTACGTAGTGTGATTTCAATGGAATGCACTTTTGTAGAGATACTGTTTTCGAAAAGTCAGTTGAATAACTAAACCCAAAATTCTGACTTTTTGTTTGCAAAATGATATTACTAGACAAGGGGAAGTTACTCAGATGATAAACACCCCTCGAGGCACCAAGGTAGCAAAAAGGTGGGAGCATTCGAGGAAGTTGCTCGGAGATCCTCGAGGCACCAAGTGGGAAAAAAGGCAGGAGCTTCCATAGAGAAGTTGCTATGATGATAAACACCCTTCGAGACACCAAAGGAGCGAAAAAGTGGGAGAGTTTCCGATCGAGGTTGCTCGGATGAAACACCCCTCAAGGTTCCAAGAGAGCAAAAAGGTGAAAGCTTCCACGGAGGGGTAAAAAGAAATGATATTACTAATCTCTAATAAACATTATTACAAGCATCTAACAATTAAATTTCAAGATTTATTATGTTTCATTCATTGACCAACTAAATTTTCAGTTTTAATTTAAGAATTGCACTAATAAAAATTACATAGACCATAATTTCAATCCTAATGCTTAAACATTCAATTATTACTATTCCAAATCAAGATTATCAATAACAAAATTACTACTTATAGCAGCCACTATCCTTTTTATATCAATTTTATAGTAAAACAGAATGTTGGTAACTTAGTACATACTAAAGTTCATCAAATTAAATTCTTCAATTATAAAAAAGGCTAAATCTCCTCCTTTCTTCTTCAATTGAAATTCCACCATTTTAATGGCCGGAAAATTAATTCGTTGCAATTTTCTTTACATTTTTACTTTCTTCATCTTCTTCGTTACTCTCTATCTCCATTTTCTTCGAAATGATTTCTCTGTTGTTTTCTCCGATCAATTTTATCCGACCACTGTAACTTCCTCCATAGCCAATTTAGTTCTTCATGAAAATTTCCCCTTTTCGTCCATTCCTATTCCGTCTGTTTCAATTCTCATGCCTGATTGGGAAATCTACGTCATCATTGATTACCCCCATTTTCACCAATCTGATTTTTACTGTGTTTTTGATACCGGAGAGGGAACTCCGGCGGTTCCTGCAGCAGAGCTTCCATTTCCAGCGAGGTCGGTGCTCAAGTGTGATTTCCCAAAAAGGGCTCGTCGGAGTTTGCCTTTTAAGCAACCCAGGTTAAGGGGTTCTTCTGTAAATGCTTATTACCGGAATTCACCATCGCCGGAGCTGTTAAGGTGGACTTTTCTCGTCTATGATTCTCTCACAACTGATAACGACGTCGTTGTATTCGTTAAAGGGTTGAATAAACGCCGAGACATTAATCGTAAGCCCACAGAATTCAATTGCATCTTCGGCGACGCCGTGAGAACCGCCGTGACGAGTTCAATACAAGAAGTTTTCCGGTGCAAACCGCCGGATAATATAGCCGGGAAAGAGCCGATCAAAGTTTCAATTGAAATTGCGGGGCCCACTCCGGAAGTGGTCCCTACCATAGCCTATTATACGCCGCCACGTATAATTTCTAGCCAAAAAAAGGCTAAGTTATGTGCTTGTACAATGGTGTATAATGTGGCTAAATTCTTAAGAGAATGGATTTTGTATCATTCAAGAATTGGAGTTGAAAAATTTATACTATATGATAATGGAAGTGATGATAATTTAGCCACAATTGTTAATGAGCTAGTTGAAGAAGGCTATGATGTGAAAACTCATTTTTGGCTATGGCCAAAAACTCAAGAAGGTGGTTTTTCCCATAGTGTTGTTTTTTGCAAAGGATTCATGTTCATGGATGATGTACATTGATATTGATGAATTTGTATATTCTCCATCATGGTCTAATTTAACTCAACCATCAAAATCATTGTTACCTTCTATGTTACCAAATTTAGAAGAAGAGGACAATGTTGCACAAATTAGCATCCCTTGTTATGAATTCGGACCATCGAATCAAAAGGAACATCCAACGAAAGGTGTGATACAAGGATACAATTGTAGGAGGAGAACAGAGAATCGACACAAGTCTATAGTGTTACTGTCTGCCGTGGACAACTCTTTGCTCAACGTGATTCATCATTTCAAATTGAAGACGGGGTACAATGTGAAGAAATTGAATGTTTTCGAAATGGTGGTGAATCATTACAAGTTTCAAGCTTGGCCTGAGTTTAAGGCTAAGTTTAGGAGGAGGGTGTCAACTTATGTTGTCGATTGGACTAAACCATCGAACCTTGGTTCGAATGATCGGACTCCAGGATTAGGGTATAGTCCTGTTGAGCCTATAGGTTGGAAGAGCAAGTTTTGTGAGGTATATGATAATGGTTTAAAAGATTTGACACATACATGGTCTATAGTTGAGTCTGTTGCTCCATCAGAGTATCAAATGCCTTGGCTGAAATAAGTCATTTCAAATCATGTGTTTTTAAAGTTGTGTAGACATAGGTTCAAAACAGTTGATCAATATTAATAGTGAATTGAGTTGTTACAACAGGTTCGACTAATTGTGACATTTAAATTTATCATGATAGAATGCAACATAGTAAAATAGCTTTTCTTTTATTCTTATAGCTTTCTCTTAGTTTGTTTGTTCTTTTGATTCTTTTAGAGTAAGTTGATATATCTTTATTGGTTCTTCTCAATAGAATTTACAAGATTAATGTTACTATTTTTTCATTAATGGAAATATGGAATGTTAGGTTTTCCTTTTTTTTTTTTTGGGTGGTACAATTAACTAGTGTGCGCCGCTCCTATTATAAATTAAGCCTATGTTTAAACTTTAAATTATAGTGATTCCCATTATTGAATTGGCTCTTTGTTACTACTACTGCTACTTAATTAGATCCTAAAATTAATTAGTTTGGTCACATGAAACATGGAAATGTCTTCTTTAATATAAGAAACATGAAACATGAGATAATGGATATAGTAATACTCTATATTCATGGTAAAATATTGAATCCGTCTCCAATATAGTATATACATCATCTTAAAACTCAATAAATCGAGAAAAAAAAATGAGAAACTCGTAGAACAATAAATGAAAGAGAAATATATGAGTTAGGTCTAGAAGTAGAAATGCTCACATAATCCAAAACAACTATTTTTAGTGAATACGACAAATAATTTGATATGGAAGGGAGTATTTGATCTACCATGTGAAAGATGCAAAGAATATAGTTTTGTGATAGAAAGAAGTCAAGAACAATACCATGCATTATGGGGGAGGTACTTCAATTGTACATAAAGTTGCAAATTCCTACAAACTTTATGCTAACTTGTAGGAGTTAATTTTAGACTTTTTAGCTCTCTTTTTTCTGCCTAGTAGTTCACTTCACTCTCTCAAAAGTGGATCTTATCCTTTGATTGTACAAAAAGTTTGGTCCCCTCAAGTCTAGACTTTTGGGTTTTCAATGTAATTCTACTTCAAATAAACCAACTCGATAATCCGAAAAAAAATAATATGATTTAACAATTTTATTTGATCATAATTGATGAGGTCTGGTTTAACAAAAAACAAAAAGTCAAACAGAACCAAATCATCCCAACATTACATGTACAAAATAATTTGGTTTGATATTTGAAAAAATTCGACAACTCAGTCCATATTCCTATACCTTACCCTTTTCAGACGTCAATTACAAAATTACACCTAATATGATATTGTTTGTTGTATTGTTTACGCTAAATCAAGCAAATTTAACTCAAAGCATTAGTTTGATTGAAGTGAATAGTAACAATATAAAAAAGAGCAACTTTCACATATAGCAAACACAAAATTCATATTTGTATGTTATAGCAAAGCTTGCATAATTGCGCTCTATAGCAAACATAAATATGCATATTTTGTTATACATATACAAAAGAAAGCAGTTGTATACAAAAGATCAATTGTATAATCTGTGTATGTATAAAACGAGAAAGAGAGAAAG